ATTCTATTGTATTCTATTCTAATCCCCCATGGTCCTTTTTTAAAAGAGAACCCCAAGGTGCGACAACAGAGGCAATTTGGCTACAGTCGAGGTGTCAACAGCCAAAATTAGTCACAGAAAAGTTTGAAAGAGTTGAGCAGGAACAGCGCGTTCGCATGCTTTAATGTATTTCCACAGTTCTAAAAAGCATCATCTCCTTTCTCCACTCGTCTTCATCCTTTCTTACACTCCTCATGTATGTGTTTGTGTGAACACACACACACACACCCCCCTCCAAACGTGGAAACAAAAATACAGCCTTTCACTTTGCCACCGCGATTTTAAAGCAACCCTGCTGTTATGTAAAATTTAGATCCCAGCCAAGCCGGGTTCCGCCCACGAACATCTCTAAAGTTTTCGAAAGTCCAAAGTTCGATAATAATTCGAAACCACAAGCATCCCCCTTTCTACGCTGGAGAAAGCCCAGATAATGTAGGGAAATGGGAGCGGCGGGAGATAAACTCGCCAGGCAGCCCCGCCGCATGAAAGATCCCATTCACCTCGCAGGTCTGACCATTTACCCCACGCGCGGACGGGAGCTGCTTGCGATACCCTGGCCGCGACGCTTTCCTGTTCCTGTTTGCAGAAGCAGCGTCCTCCACCTCCCCGCTTCGTCTATTGGCTCGCGGCGTGGCTGTTTCCACCCTTCCCTAACCACAACCCCTTCAATGGTCGGTGGCTCTGACGTTGCAAGCGGGGGTTGGCTCTTCCGAGTGTCTATAAGAGACCCTTCCAAGTCCGGACCGAAGCTCCGCCCACGACGTTACTCCTGACTAACAGCTGTTCGTGTGAACGCTCCCTTAGGCAAAAGGTTCCATCTTGGCTTTCTTTCTGGATCCTGCACTTCTATGTTACCTTGGTTCATTATCTACCCAAAGGTGGCTTCTAGATCACTTGGGGCACTGTGGAGCTTGCATTAATCAGGCTCAAAGCAGAAATGCCACATACCCCTCGCCAACGGTTGCAGCCTCGGGCTCCAATTTGGTCAGAGACCGAAACTCGAGATTTCCTTGCCCTCTGGGGTGAACTGCTGATTTTGAGGTGGATTGAAAACCGGCCACCCAACAGTGACATCTACGAGGACCTGTCGGCCCAGATGATAGCCAGGGGCCACGAGCGCAACGCTTCGCAGTGTAGGAACCGAGCCCGGGATCTGAAGCGAAGTTATCGGAGAGCCAAAGATGCCCAGATCTGTGCTGGAGCTGAGCCCGTGTCTTGCCGTTACTTCCAAGAGTTGGATCAAATGTTTGGAGGCGAAATGGATAGGGCCACCAACCGGAGCTTGGCCAGCATGGATGGATCCGTGCGGGTGGTGGTAAAAAGGGAGGATGCAAAAGACATGGAGGCCCAGGCCTCTGAGGAAGAGAGCAACCAAATGACGCCCCCAAACACCCTCTCAAGTATGGAGGCAGACACAGACACGGAAACCGAACCGAACGTGGGGATTACACGAGGGTTAGTGACAGTGGTAGATCCCAACGTGATTGAAAACACGATAGTTGAGGACGGTCCTGAAGAGAAGGTGGTGCCTTTTTGTGGGCAACCGGTTCCAGGCTGCAGTGAAGATGGGCACCACACTGCTACTGGTGAGCAAGAGCCATTTTTCTTCAATGGCATTTTGTTTTTCAATTGGTGCTCTTAGCTCTTCAGCCATCTCATAACCTTGGGTTTAAGTTAGTTGTGAGAACCTCTAAGAACTTGCCTGAGATACCACAAAGATAGAGATTGGCTCTTGGTTTGTAAAAAAAAAAAAGAGGGGGGGGGAGGGAGAGAGAGAAATGACCTGAATTTTCTCCTGATTAGAAGCCCAAATTAGCTACAGGTGGGGAGACAAGTGCAGTCTGAGATTTAATTTCAAAGAAGGAGCCAGGCTAGAAGTAAGTGTGGTAGATTCCCATCTCTACTTGCCAATAGAATCAAATGGACCTATGGGTTTTTTGATGTGCTTTTTTTAAAAAAAAAAAAAAGGGGGGGGGGGAGGGAGAGAGAGAAATGACCTGAATTTTCTCCTGATTAGAAGCCCAAATTAGCTACAGGTGGGGAGACAAGTGCAGTCTGAGATTTAATTTCAAAGAAGGAGCCAGGCTAGAAGTAAGTGTGGTAGATTCCCATCTCTACTTGCCAATAGAATCAAATGGACCTATGGGTTTTTTGATGTGCTTTTTTTAAAAAAAAAGGGTGTGTGTGGAAGGAAGATGTCAGCTATGTGACCAAGATTTTTTTAAAAAGCATTCAGCTTTCATTCTAGCATTCAGCTGTTCTCCCTGCGGTCTCTGTTCCACTTTGTCGAAATGGTGGTCTGTGTGATAG